AGCGAGCGAGCGAGCGAGCAGCGAGCGAGGAGGGGGAGAGAGGGAGTCTGTCTGCAAAGTGCTGCTCCCTGGTGCTCAGAGGCGGCTGCTCCAGCTCCAACTCTCATTCATTTCGCCGGTTAACATGAGAGATCATGGCCGCCTTCGGGCTTCTCAGCTATGAGCAGAGACCGCTGAAGCGCCCCCGGCTCGGGCCTCCCGACGTCTACCCGCAAGACCCCAAGCAGAAGGAGGTGAGGGCGCACCGGCCACCCGGGCACCGTGGGCCGCGCTCCGCAGCGCTGACCCGGGGCCAAGTTGGCTCAGCGGGAATCGCCGGCGCTTCGGGGGAGGGGTCCCGGAGCGGGGCTGGTGGTGTAGGCCGGGCTGGGGGACCCCCCGACCACCACCAGGGGCGGAGACCGCAGCTGTCAGCCCTGGTGTTCCACGGGGGCGCGATCTCCCCTGGTGCCCGGTAGCTCCCCCGGTGCCGGGCCTCGCGCAGCCCTGCTGGGCGCTTCTCTGGGGGTTTCCTCACCGGAACCCTTCGGCTCGATCTCCCCAGCTCCTGCCTGCGTTATTTCTCTCCCCGGGGTTTCGGTAGATTCTCGTAAACTTTTTTGAAAAATGTTGGAATGCGGTGCATCAGCCCCCGAGGTCTTGCGTTTTGCGCCACCCGAGGGTGGGGAGGTGGGTGGGGGCAGGGGGTGGCAGCGACCGGAGGAGGTCGCTTTTATGTCTCAAATTTGCCAGTTTGGAATGGAAGTCATTTTTTTTGCCCCCAGGTGATAAATATTTCGCTATCAGAACATACTTCGGTCTCTCTTTTTCACTTGGAAAAGAAAGAAATCAATATTAAAAAGAAATGCTGGTTTTCGTCTCTGGAGGCGATTGGCTTAATTGCTAGAGGCTGTTTTGTAGACGTCAAAATAGGCGGTTACCTTGGGAGGGACTGGGTCCCTGGATTGCCTGTTTCTTTGAGATTAATTGGAGAGACCTTGGCTTGGGCACCAGGTACCACTAGCTTCAATGGTTAGGGTAACCATGGCATTTTGTAGCCCTGTACGTGTTTGTTAGCGGTTAACAAGTAATTACGTAACAGCTCTGCTTATAATGATCACCCTTGGCTACATAATTTGCCCAGGGACTTGCCTTTTCTTTCCTTCTTTCTTCTTCTTCTTTTTTTAAATATCACCTGCTCCCCAGCTGTGTTTTCAGAGTTTGCCTCTGTAGCCTACCCCTTCCCTATTCTCTAGCTAAGCACTATCCTCACCACGTGTCCGAAACTTACCTTTCTGTGAATCTAAAACTCGATAAGAAAGTTTACAGGCCTCTAGACTTCTGCTGAAAGGTTCTTTGCAAATCAGGCGTGGAAAGGGCCTAAACCACTTAAGTTTTGAGAAGCCTATCCCTGGGGTTAAACTGTTGTGCGAATGACCAATAACTTCCAGGGGCGGAGCGCCCAATATGCCGGACCCTCCTGGAGTAACTCTGATTCTAGCTGGGAAGGTTTTATAGGTAGTTCCCAGGGGGGACTTTTTGAACGTGAGAGCCGATGGCTTTGATGAGGTTTTTGTCTGTGGCTTCTCCAATCCACTTCTCGCCGCTCCTGACATGAATGGTTAAGGATTGGAAAGGACAGCTGCTGTGGACCACGAGTGAAGAACGGCACTGAAAACTTGGTGGCAGGAAGTTCAGAGCC